AATTTTGACGCTTCGAAAAAAATTTTATCTTTAAAAATAAAATGCGCAGGCGGGTGGCTGATTTGAGAAAGAATGCCCCATATATATATATATATTTTTTATCAAATATAAAATATTTTTCTCTAGACGTTGGAGAGCAATTGAAATGCAAATGATACATATAAATAATATCAAACTTTACGGATATTTTACCTTTTGTTGACCAAAGTTATTGATCGGTTGTGGGACATGGAGGGTAGCTTCCGGCGGGGCTTTCACAGCCATAATAACTTGGTCTTTGTACATTGAGACTGAACGTAAATCATGATACGTCACATAAGCGTATTGTCTATCCGCGCAGAGCTCGCGAAGGTTCTTATCAGCACCGTGAATCAATCGATCCAGAGTGTTCTCCTTAGCTTCCAAATCTGCGACCTCCCATCTGAGATTAGCGATATCGTTCCGATTGTTCGGTAACTGACCGCCTCTGTAACAAGCAATTAGTTTCGAGTATAATCTCCGGTTATATATGTAGATGGTAAACTGTAAGAGAGTGTACACATGTCTTAGTAGATAACTTACTTCCACTGGATATTGTTTTTACTTTTCTTCTCTAAAATACCAATGCCCTCTAAAACATTAGTAATGTCGTATATACGACGTTTTTGTACCTCCAACTTTTCTGACGCTACATTTAAGTCCACCACACCATCCTGACTGCTTTCAACTAAATGAATAAACTTTTTTGTGAGCAAACTCAAAGATGTGTCATACCGTGTCCTTTCTACAGTTTTACCTGCAATGAAACAAAACGATTCCTTTCTTGAATGACATGCAAAAAATAAGAGAAAGATCATAAAGCAGAAGAGACATTTACTTTTGGTGGGTGTATGACCAGCTAAAGAATTCGAGCCGGATCTTCTACGTTTACCTCTGGGTGTTTTGAAGGCAGACTGGCTGGGACCAGTTGTCCCTACCTCCAAATTCAGTCTTCTTTTTACCGCTTGAACTGATATCTGTCAAAAAGAAAAGGAAATTGTAACTTGATTAGACAAGTGCCAATTAAATACCTTTACGAAAATCAACATAGATATTTTGATATGTCAATATTACTATAAAAAATCTGAGATACTATAGAAATTTTACCTCAGCTCTTGGTGGTGGTTGTGTGGGTTTTCTCGTTATTTGGTAACAACAAGGCGTTTGTCCGTATTGGTGATCCTGTAAATGAGGACTTGGTGTTTCTTCTGCCACTTTTGGAGATTGAATTTCATCCAAAGAACCATCATCCAGAAACTCAGACTTTACTGTAGAAAGATGTTACTCGAGTGAGCTTAACAGTGACAAAATAATATAAGATTTGGAATATTTTTCCTGCAAATGACTTACACAACTTTGTTTCCACCATGTCTGGAGTAACTGGCCTGGCTGGATCCTCCAGGATCACTTGTCTCCTTACCCGAGGCATCCTGGTAATATGATTGTGTCTGAAATAATTATACATACATAAAACTATACAACTGTCAAACTGTACGAAGCCACACGCTAATTACTTCCTAATAAATAATTATGCTGTCTCTAAAACGCCATAATATCAATCTTCCAAACATTTATAAGACTAAAAAATAAAATTCAAGAGATACATATGTATCTCTTGAATTGAACAAGCAGGAAACGATATACCGATGTGATATACCCTCAACCACGCGAGATGCAACAGATTGACGCGATCGGGCATTTCAACGAGATCACAGTAAGCTGAGTAAGCTGAGTAAGCTAATCCCGGTACGCGACAAGTTTCCTGCCGCACGACTCGCGCGATCGAAGCAACGAAACTCGCGGACCCGCGGTCGTGTCGTTACACCGCTAACACGACCGGCCATTCGGCACTCGAGAAAAGGATCGAGGAAATGACGGCGGCGCACGGACCTATTTCTAAGCACGCTCTGCATTTTCGGTCGTTAACCGCTGCTGCTCGCCGCGCGCGCGTGTCACTCGGCGCGTTACACGTGCGATTGCGGCGGTGAGTGTCATTTTTAAATCCCAAGGTTTTTCAGTTCTCGCACGAGAAGAGGGGAAAAAAAAAGACGCGCCGCGTCGACGACGGATGGGTGACCTGTCCGCACACCGGCCGTGTAAAAGTCGTGCGTTGTATACACACACGCGCGCGCGCCACAATAACGGAAATAATAAGGGCGACGCGAGCACCGCAGTCAGGCAATGCTACGTGTGCGATATTAGCATCTCTCTCCTTCTCTCTCCCTGTCTTTGGCGGAAGGCGCAATCGGATTGCGCGGCTTTAGGTCGGACGCGCACGAGACTCGACAGTCCAATGAAAGTGGCTGCGAGGAGCAAGGAACGATGATGGTGTTGAAGAAAATTCGATTCCCGCTCGCGTTCCGACGAGAAACGCGACAAAGAACGAAATAACTCCGTTAAATGTACATGGAACTTGAAAAGCGAGGAGAGAATTCAATAAAATAGAACCGGAGAAACTAATAGATGAAATTGAACTTGAAGAAATCCGGCTTACGTGTGTATCAAATTTCGAAAGCGAAAGGAGAAATTGAATAGAAATGAATCTAAGCATATCAGTAGAAAAAAAGAAGAGAAGAAAAATCTTATCTTATTCGGATAGTTAAATATAAGATAAATGTATAATAAGATCACACATATTTTTATCTGTTTGTAGCGTCGAAATTTGTCGAAATGATCGATTCCAAGGTTTTATTTTCAAAAAATATCGCAAATGAAAATACTAAGGAAATCTATAATACAGTGAGAGCAAAAAGTATTCGTACAAGGAAATTTTCTATAAAAAGTCTTATTTGTAAAAGATAAACATTAATTAGCAATTTATACAATGAATATATTCTGTTCTAACATAAACAAACGAGCTTTGCATGTATCCCTGATTTTAGCTAAATTTATCGACTGTATGGATACTTTTTGAGCATCCAAACAATAGAATTTTTAATTTTCGCTTATTTTTTAGATGATACATTTTCTACAATTAATACACATCTTTTTGGTATATATAATTTTAAGAAACATACAGTCTATTCTATTCTTTATGAATAAATTGTTAACTACCCAGTAAAAGAAATGATGGCCAATTAAACGTTGAATCGACGTCGAATTGTTGAAATCACCGTATCGATATCAATTCGACATCAATTCGATGACTCATTTTCCGCTGGATAATATTTACTTTTCAAAAATAAAGTTTTTTTTATAAAATATTTTCTCTATACGAATACTTTCTGCATTCACTATATATAACGTATACTATAGTACATTCTTGTATGAGATATTTTCGAGAATACAATCTCTGATCTCGGATTATTTCTCAGTGTTCAGAATACCAGCTGATCGCTCTCGTCGTTATCTTTTAAAAGACACAAAAGAATTGTCTCATTATTCAAGTATTTTATTGATAAGTCCAAAGTCGTATAATCGTCGATAATCAAGATTCGATGTCTTCAATTCCTGCCAGCTATGCAATTATTTTCTGCCTGTCTAAAAATAAGAGAGATTCGCGCGCATTTACTTTACGGTGGTAGAGATATAGCGAATTGAACGCATTAGTGCATATTAAAGTCATTATATACTAATTTAATCTGGATAAAAGTAAAATGCAAATATTTCGAATTATAAAATACCAATTTTAGTTAATAGCACAATAAAATGTGGTTTAATTCGCTTTTATATTAAATTGAATACACATTTTTGCGTCGATTTGTGGACAACAGCTTTAATGTGCACCAGTGCAAACTGAGTGAATCCAATCGAATTCGCCAACAGATCCAGATACAGATAACTTGGAAGATTGAAGTAGAAAAGTTGATGCGAAATAGTACTTTTGCTTACAGATTAGTTTGTCGTGTGTCAACTGAAGCCGACCACACGTGACGCCGTTTATATCCATCAGAAGCTATAAATAAGAAGATTACATTCTCGAAAGTCATTTCTCGCGTAAGTACGTTTGCGTCAGTATAAACATCACGTAAATGTCGCATCTTACAAAATGCAATGTTTGTCTACGCAAGTTGGAACATATTGTAACGTGATAAAGATATGTGTGATTTTAGTATCAAGATTAATACCAATTTCTTCACTTGGTCACAATAATCGCAACATATAATTTGGCATAGACTTTAAATTCGTTCGTCTGCACTGAATCTGCACTGAACAAATATATCGTAGTCACGTGTACGACTCTTTAATGAATACAAATAAGTACGTTTGCTTCTCTTTCTACAACAACGATTCTCAAGCCACATTTCCAGCAAACTCGACTGCGCGATATTCATTAAGCACAATAAGCATAATCACGCTGCTTATATTCTCCTTCATCAATAATTGTTATATAATCAAGCAAGAGAACTGAACTCGACGAATTTGGAAAATAATAAATACGAGACTCTCTCTCTCAATACATTACATAAATCATTCTTTGTTCCTGTTAGTTATTCTGCGGAAGAAATAAATATTAATTTCAAAACAATTAATTCAAAGAAAATATTTCTTATTCTTATATCGAAAGAAAGTGTAAATTATTATTTTCATTTGCATATCTTATATTTTATCATTTAATTGTTACATTATATTAAAATATTATTAAAGAAAAGATATGGAGATATCTAAAAGTAATTAAATGTATACAAAAGAAGCAAGTTGAGAGTATTATATCGCAAGATGATGTAAATCGAATAAGCTAACTTAAGGGCTCCACATAGCAAACGCTTGGTATGCGTCTGAACACTCCGAACGGACCCATGGTGCGCTCGGCCCGGGGAATTTTAGAAAAAAAGAACAAGCATTCCGAGACAAGCTGATCGTTCCGGGTGTGATTTAAAGAGATGGTGCTCGCGTCTCGAAAATATCCCTTCATCCTACGCTTGTGATTTATTCAAAACGATTACAGAAAATTTTGATAATGTTTTGGAATAATAAATCAATGTAAATTAATTGTTAATTCGTTTAATCTGTTTCTCTTCAGATAGATCGATTATGCTTTCGATGTGATGTTCTATTTTATTATTTACATAATTTTATATACTAGATAACTTTAAGCTTGATAAAAAATGTTGAACTATAAAAAACTTTTTTAAAAATCATTCAATAACTTTATATAGGGATGTTGATTCAATTTCGTTAGCAAATAGATAAATTGAGAGAAAAAATTTAGAATCGATATTATAGCATCGATAAAAGTTGGAAGTAACTCCAGTTCGAATCTTCTGCCGGATACACAATCAACTACTAGTGAGAGCTACTAGGATTTCTCGAGACCAATAGTGTCACGATTTGTGCTTGGAAGGTTGGGAGCAATGCACGATGCGGAGTCATTGATTGGCCAGCCGTTATCTCCAAACCAAAGTACAAAGCATCGCACAGCACATCGGCTGCATTCGATGCAAAAGTAACGTACCGATTAAAAAAACGACTGTTTTTTTAACACGCGACGATATCATCGAATTATTTGTCCATACATTTTTACCTCGACGCGAAGGCTGGAATTTTTGCCTATCTGTCCGTTGATTGGTCGCTCACGGGGATGGCCCGTCAAGTCAACCCCGGCATAGAGTCACCTTGGCGAAAGTTGGCAGAATCGACAGTGCGTTGCACCAACATCGATCCCGGCAACGTGTTCACGTTTAACAAAGAACGCGACAAAGTCTACACGATTACTCGAAGATTAAATGCGAACTTGGAGGTTGCTAATAGGCGCCGGCAGGGTAATTTCACGACTTTACTCCGTATGTTCGCGACCGAGCACGATGTGGGCACTAACGCCGGGTCTCCAGTGCGTCGAAGACAGGAAACGCCGCCGCCATCCACTACCACGACGGTGGCGGCGGCGGGGGGCCCC